AAGAGATTCCTAAAAAAATTAAAAATAGAACTACCATATGCTCCAGCAATTTAACTGCTGGGTCTATTCAAAGGAAATGAAATCACTGTCCCAAAGAGATACCTACACCCTTGTGTTCACTGCAGCACTATTTATAATAGCCAAGACATGGAAACCACCTATCAACAGATGAATGGTTAAACAAAATGTAATACGTATGTTTATTTATATGTATATACATAAACACACAATGGAATATTATTCAGCCATAAAAAAACTATAAGGAAATCTTGCCATTTGAGACAAAATAGATTGACCTTGAGGGCACAACGCTAAGTGGAATAAATCAGATAGAGAAAGACAAATACCATATAATCTCACTTATATGGAATCTAAAAAAACCAAACTCATAGAATCAGAAAACAGATTGGTGGTTGCCAGAGGCAGGGAGTCGGGTGGAGGGAGGGAGACTGAGTGAAGATGGTCAAAACTTAAAAACATCCAGTTATAAGATAAATAAGTTCTGGGGATATAATGTACATCATGATGACTATAGTTAACAATACTACGCTGCATAGTATAGTTTTGCATAGTTGTTTCAAAACAATGTTTGGAAGTTGTAAATCTTAAAAAGTCATCACAACAAAAAAAGCTTGTAACTATGTGAGGTGATGGATGTTAACTTACGTTAATAAACAATATCATTTCACAACAGATATATATCAAATCATTATGTACAATGTATACTTCAAATTAACCATGTTATATGTCAATTATATCTCAATAAAGCTGGAAAAAATAATTTTAAAAAGAAATTAACTTCTATTTTTAGATTCTTACATGTTAATGGATCACTATACAGAATGCAAATAAAAAAAGAAAAGAAAATCAAGAACACCCACAGCCTTTGTGTATATCTCAGTATAGAACCTTCCTGCCCTTATATGAGAGGTCCTGTCTGAGAAAAGGCTTGAACCAGGTTATTACTGAGAAATTTCTGAGGGACTTGGATAACAAGAACTGTCAGGGAGACAGGGCCCAGGACCCAGAGAATGAAGCTAAGAAGTAGTTCTGCAGACTCCAGAGACACAAAATCCTCAGCAACTGCCTGCCAGAAGTCAGCTCCCATCTTCCTTCCCGTTTGCTCCACCTGGGTATTGACTGGGTATCCTTCCCTTCCTGTGGCACCTGTAGTGGAACAGCTGCCTCATCCATCATAGTCCTTTCTGTTCCTGAGGCCTCACTCCTGTGCGCTTGCTTGTTTGGCCATTCCTGGTTGCTGGCGTTGCCCGGTTTTGGAGTACTTCCTTCCTCACTTGGACATCTGGAATTGGAGGCTCCCTTTTTTCTAAATGTCTGTCTGGCTTCCAGCTCACTGCCTGCTCTGATCCTCAGTCTTTTGCTGCTTCCATCAATAATTCTAACACCTGGCTTTCAGAAGTAGGACATTCCCATTCCAGCCTGCTGACCTCTCAAAACCAGGTTTTATCCAGAGTCTAACCTGTCCCCATACCTACCACCTTTTCAGATTCTTCTTCAGGCCTGGATTCACAGCTCCACTGCCCATTCAATGTCTACAGTCAACAGCCTTCAGTGCCCCAAGTTGACACCAGTCTTTTCCAGTTTTACCAATAGACTGGTTAGAAACTGAGAATCAAAGACATTTCCAAAACCATATATTTTGAATTGTAACCTGTTCTTATTGAGAAGTGGCATCTGTCACCTATCATGGGGAGTAGAAGCTGCCCACTGCATCTTAGTATCTGCATTGCCAAGGAGAACACAAGTGTGGTGAGGCACAGGATAAAACATTTTACTGACATAAAGAAACAGACCAAGATCAGTTTCAGTAGCAGGCATTAGTCCCCCTGGCCAGTGGTCACTCCTAGCAGCCACAGGGCCATTGACCTGCATGCACTTTGTATTGCGGAATGAAGGACTCCATCCCCTCCCCACAGGGAATGGACACAGCAATGGGGTGGCCAGGTGTCATATGACACACACACTAAGCAGAACGGAGGAGCACACACTGAGTCTGAAAAAAGGGAAAGCTGTGTCCACACAAGGTAACCAGTCCAGCACAGGCTGAGAGAACTCCTCATCTCTTAAGAAGTTTCCAGGCCCAAGGTCCATTCCTATGCAGATGAGTGGAGGTCAGAATACTGCACACAGGGGACTGCCTTCTCAACAGTTCCACTTCCACAGTTACTCAACTTAAAAATAGTATTATTTGTATTGTTTATAAATGTGTTATCATTCCTCTTCCAATAGCAATATAAATCTCTCCCAATGAGTGAAACAGTTTATAAGACATGGATTTAAAGAGCTTTTCTTATGAATTTGTTTTCAGCATCACCTCCATATAATATAGATTCTCTTAAACTCTTCTGAGACAATACCGTCCCCTCTTCCTGAAAATAAACCATCAACTTGGCATGAGACCATAACCCAAGTGCTTTGCACTGTCACTTATAAGATTATAGGCACTAGTGGAATATAGCTTCTTGGACAAATTAGTATGATTAGAATGATTACATTAGAATCAAATTAATCAACTAAGTTAAAATTACTGATTTGGAAAATTAGCCATTAAAAAAAGTTCAAATCAGTGCCTACATTTAGAACTTGACTAAAATGGCTGCAAGCTTTCTGTTAAGAACTTAAAGAATGGGTCCTTGAGCCCACACCACAACTCTGTCCAATGTCACTGCCAGAGCGATGAAGAGCTCCTCTGTGGGCCTCTCTAGCTAGGAGCACACAGGGAGCCAATGGACATAAGCTGCCCTGCCGTTCTGAGACATGTTCCCGTCCTGACAGCGAGAAAGTTTGGCCCACAGGACCTGAATCCAAGTGGAGAAAGGGGAATAAATCTTGAATTCCCTCACTGTCCAAATATTCCGATTTAGGTGGCTTTGGGATGTGTACCAAAGATCTTAATGAACTTGGAAAAGATCATCAAACCACTGGAATGCACTCTTTAAAATTCAATTTTGAAATCACTTCTAGGAACTGTACTAAAAGGAGCACCTCTGAACCTGCTGTATACAAAGAGTGTATATACACAATATACACACACACAAGCACATATAATTAGCTCAGTCTGTTCAGTCTGTAGCAGAATAAATGAATAATGTGCTTTTACTGACTTGGCACATGGCTTATTAAAGCCTTGGTCTCTGAAACATCACCAGCAATGTAACCATCTCCAGTGTCTTGGTGTTAGCAAGGAACTAAAAATCACAAGTTTCTGAAACCAGTGAAGAATCAAAGATCCTTGAAATCTTGCAGGGGGTTAATCTGTTATTGGGCACTATTGAATCAAGCTGAAGAAGGACCTCAAGGGATGTGTTTATCACACCTGCAGTGTTCTTTTAATGCAAAGCCACCTGACCCAAGAGACAGGTAGAGTAGACCTCTAGCAAATCATATGGTACTTCTGGCCAGGAAAGTGACCCTTGACCCATTATCTAACACCAAAAACATGACATTCACCCATATAGTAGGGACTGATAGACAAAAGAGGCTTTTCTTTACAGTGAAAAAAAAAAAAGATCTGCTTTTCTTTTTCTCTGTTCAAATGTACTGGGTTTTATAGCACAGTGCTAGACCCACTCAATACCTGATTGAAATAACCCAAGAGGAGGATACAGAGGGAAAGCTGAATTCAGAATGCTCTGTGAAAGTACATCTGTTTTATATGAGACACACAATCTGTCTCATTCCAACCTGCATTTCTGGGTCACTTGAGACATTTAAACTGCACTTATAATTAACAGCTAATACAAAAGCATTAAAATTGCCCCAGTTTCGCTTTTCAATAGGACACACCACTGCAATATGCTTCAAGATCAAAGAGAGCTCAGAAAAAGAGAAAGCGAGAGAGAGAGAGAGAGAGAGAGAGAGAGAGAGAGAGAGAGAGAGAGAGAGAGAGAAAGAGAGAGACAGGCCTATCAGTGGGGATAAATTGTTCCCATTATGATGTTGTAAGAATAGGGTTCTTTCAATTGAAACAATTTAATAACCACATTCATTACATTGGTGTCCACTTGGTTTTATCTGAGCAGTTTTTGCATAACTGGAGAGCAAGTTCAATTGAGCTTATTCTCTAGAAATTAAGATGTGCAGGGTTTGACATTCAGAAATTAAGCACTAATAGCCAACCAAGCAGTTGTCTGGAGATCCCCCTGGATGTAATGAGATCTGCCCACCACTAATTATGTCGAATGCAAATACATTCTCTAAAAGACCTGCCCAAATTTTCATGAGCTCATTTTAAGGCAGTTAACGTTATATCAGGGTGAGGATGGAGTATCAGAGTCTCTTTGCAATATTTTATAGAATCACTTTGCAAGGCGTCGCGTGCTTAGCAGGAGTATAGCATTGCCATCTGTAAACTTGTTTTTCCCTCAGCTATCAACAGAGGGAATCTTTCAGAGCGCCCTTCTAACATTCTGTAAGATCAAGACAACCAGAATCATGACAAACACCACAAGTGCTGATTTGACGAATGAGGGGATCATTGATTTAGGAGGGGGAAAAAATAACTCGTTTTCCAGGGTTGACTTCAGCTGTGGATATCTATATGCTAGAAAAAGTGTCGGATTTTTTGCCAACCAGCTTTCCTGAGAATGGTTACATTTGCCAGCTCTCAACTGCACTATGGAGCATAATGTGTCATTTGAAGTGTAGTTTATCCTAAAGTGCTATTTAAAAAAGATATTAGGAATGGAGCTGTAGAAATACACACAGAAGAAAACCCAGGGTTTACATATGATATATTAGACATACACAACCCATTCCTGTCTACTAGCCTCACTAGGAACTAAATCATGTACAGGAACATTTAAAAGACATTTCCCAGGGTACACTAAATCCTGCTTTGTTTTCTTACTGCTACCAAACAAGTGGAGAGCAAAGAACTGTCAGAATGTACACTGGGTGGCAACTTTATAATAGCTGCACTGCTTCTTTCCTTCTTTTTTCCAGAAGACAAAGTGTAAAAAGTGAGAAGTTACTCTTACCTCTACAAAAGCTTTTAAATAATGGCTTTTCCAGGAGCAACTGCACTTCTCTCTCACCAGACCATTTCCCCAGATGGGATCTGCAATATAAAACCACCATAGATTGGCTTATTGAGGAAAGGAGATAGACTTGTACAAATCACTGGGAAGATAAATAAGCTATAGAGATCAATAAATAAAAGCCAGGCAGCAAAAAAAATCAAACTCCGGCATTCCACACCAATTAAGATGTTATTTACTGCCCATGTGATTGTAACTTCGATGTGCTCCTTCCTCGTTTTCACACCATAGACATTTGTTTTGCTGAGAGAGAGATATATAACTGATGTGTAAATAGAAAATGATATAGATAGATTTTATGTCCCATAAAACTGTTAATCTGTGCTCCACATTAAATATAAAGTACATTTTTTATTTAGACACTGTACTGGTATAATTAAAATAAAGTATGCTAGCTTTATTTTTTCAGTAAGTCATTCCCAAACATAGAGATCAAATAACAGTGAAACAGCAGCATGAAATGTGGTTATAATAGCCTGAGACCACGTTTCCTGAGACTAAAACATGGGAGATAATAGTGCGAAGGTACAAATTAAATGCAAATAAAACAGATTCCCTATTGTTGCTAATCCCTGGATTGGGTTTCAGTGTGGAAATTTAACTGTAATGTTTAACTTCTTTGTACAGTAATTATCGACATGTTATATTTTGAGATCACTGATGGAAACTATCAGCAAAGGATTTAAGAAGACTACCTGTCCACCTTTTGGAAAGAGAATGGAAATGGCCTGCAGCAAATCAAATGAAAACATACTGCCCAGACTGCCTCCGGGACACTTATGGCAGCTGGCAAACACTTATTGACTTGTTTCCCAACTGATGTACATTTCTGTGGCAACCTACTTTTCATTCGCCAGCAGAAGCTCTTTTTTATTTCAGAGTTATATCAGCATGTGTTAGCAAGATCCCGCTTAGGAGGGTGACTGCTCCGAAAACATCTCAAATGCTAACACAAGGGGACTTAACAGAGTTGGCGTATGTTACAATTTCTGGTTTTCTGCTCTACATAAGCCTTCATGCCACGGAGGGCAAGTGTGACTGGTATAATATACATGTTTTCTAAAGGCGAAAAATATGATTTAAAGTGAACTTAGCAGAATTACCTTTTTCTAAGCTGTTTCACATGGACCTTGCTACTTGTGTTTAAAATGATCATTGAGCAATTGGTTTCTTGGGATTTTTCAAGTGCACTGGTATGAGTGGTTGTTCTCATGAGATATGGCCTTATTCTAGAGCCTTTGGTAAACAATCTCTTTCTAGTCTTTTCCAAAACAGCATTTGTTTTGTAATTCTATCATTTGCAGCTCTCAACTTCCAGAAAAGTTTGGGGCACGTAACCTTCTATACTTTTACACTCTGTAACTACCAATGGCAATAACAGTGTAAGCAAAGCATATGTCCATAATTTTCTTCCTCACTTCCAGAAACTATCCGAGGCTACCAGAAAGTCTTTGCAGACCCTTCCTCATCCTGAAGCCTTATAGCTCTGAAGGAAGAAAAAGCCGCCTTTTCACAAGTGGAGCCAAACTTCATCCCTTTTCCTTTTTCTCCAAAACAAGAGGCATGTAGCCCTAGAGGCACTGGGGTGCAAAGACATCATTAAAAGATCTGTTTTTACTTATTTATGTACTAAAAGTATATATGTTATTAATATAGGTAGTTGTATGGTTCAGAGGAAATGTACATACACTGGGGTGCATACTCAAAATTCTAAAACTATTTTTGTGCATGACTTTAAAAGTTTGAAGAGGCTGGGGACTGCTATTCATTCCTCAGACACTGGATTGAGAAAGAACTCAGAGACTCCATGTGGTATAGGCAGACTAATGGTCCCCACCCAGGCCCAAAGATATCTGAGTCTTGTATTTGCCAGAACCTGAATATAATATCTGGCAGAGCAAAATAAACTTTGCAGGTGTGATTTAGGATATAGACTTTGAGATGGGGTGATTATCTGGGATTATCTGGGTGAGCACAATCTGACCACTTGAGTCTTTAAAGGTGGAGAACGTTTTCTGGCTGCAGTCGGAGAGAGATTTGACAATGGAAGAGGGTCCAATCAATGCCATCTGAGAAAGATTCAACTCACCCCTGCAAATCTTGAAGATGGAGGAAGGGGCCACAAGCCAAGGAAGGAAGGCAGTGTCAAGAAGCTAGGAAAGGAAAAGGCTTCTCCCCTAGAGCCTCCAGAAGGAATGCAGCTTTGTCAAGAAGTGATTTTAGCCCAGAAAGACCTCTAACCTACAGAACTGTAAGATAATACATTTGAGTTATTTTAAGCCACTAAATTTGGGTAATTTATTATGGCAGTAATAGGAAACATACAGTCCATCTTCCCTAACTAATTGTGAATGCTGGAGTATTAGGTTAGATTTAAGTACTACATCAAATGGATTCAAGTTGCAATCAATCAGTTAAACATTTTCGGACAAGATTTCCTAAGTTTACATCACTTGGTGGAGGGGGTGTGAGGTACAGGGAACATATAGCAGCAAAGTATGCCATGATAAGTTGACAAAATATTATTTGCAAAAATAGAAATAGAATGAGAATAAGCTCTTTGGTCAAGAAGAGGTGAGAGTTTTCAGATACGATCTTTGCTCATTATCTCCATATTATCGGCAGTGCCACCAAACATCGAAGAGTACAAAGCTGACCTTGGAATCTTTGTATTTCCCCAAATCTAAGTAAGACAGTTAGAAAATTTTAAAACTCATTCCTCAATATTTGAACTTCAAAAGGTAAAATTTCCAGTAGTGACAGTATGGTGCTGGAACATTAATGTGTCAGCATGAAATAATATAATTCTGTAGGAGGTAATAAAGGCATGAATTATGTCAAATTGTATTCAGCTCATGGATGTTACTGTGCTTCTTATGGGCAGACACAGCTAAGAGGCACAAGAACACCTGCCTGTCTCCCTCAGAAAATTAAAGTCATGTGCACAAACATCAGTCTAAGAAATTAGGGGACCATTTGTGGCAAAATGAAAATGTGCCATGTTATAGATACAACTCCTAAGGATATGGAATATCTGTTAAGCAGAACATAATTTTTCTCCTGATCTTGCTCATTGCAGGAAGAACCATTAAGCCATTTACATTACAAGTGGGGGCTTCTACTCCTGTCAGGTAATATACTATGCTAAATGAACTTGCTGCTATGCTATATAGTGCTCCATTATAGACTCTAGCCATTAATTGGTTTGGGGTCATTGGCCATCTCTGTTAATGTGAAGAATCTATTCTTCTTTAAGTAAAACGTTCAATAGCATCTCCTATTGAAATGGGCTCAGTTCAAACAACATGCGTTATTATGCATGTGCCAGTGTACATGTGTATAGGTTTTCCTGCATTTATTTATTCAAGGTAAGAAAACAGTGTCCATTTAGTAAAGTTAAAGAAAGTATTTACAGGTGCCATCGTGTTTAAAAGTTGCTTGAAAGTCCCTGGGAAAATCTGGTGTGGGGAAAATGTGAAACTCTGCAAGGCTCCTTGTGATTTAACCCTTTCAGAGCTAAAAGTATTAAGGGGAAAAAGCTGCCTTTCTCTTCTTTGCCCCTGTCTGCAGATGCATATAGATGACACTGCAAACAGAATCATCACTTCTGCTACAACCTGGGTAATAATGTGCTCAGTTAATCTACACAACATAGAGTCATCCTCTCAAAAAGTAATTCACTTCTTTAAAAACTGGAAGGAAAATAAATACGGTGCAGTAAAATTGTTGAGCAGAGGAATCTATCTGGACATTTCACAAAACATTTCATTATGCTGACAATTCCCAGAAGTACTCTCAAGAGTGCTTTAAGCTGAGGATTACTGCACTGGAGCTGATGGACTTTTTTTGTAGCCCCTTTAAAAGGCAGTGAACCGTTTTTCTATTTTATTTAAATAATGCCCCTTAAAATGGATTTTTAGAGGTATAATAACTCCTTAAGAGTCAGTTATGCTAAACAGTTTCTCTTGATAGAAATGTTGTAAAACTCGTTAACTGCACAATTTCAGATGCCGGCTTGGTGAACACTAACTGACATGTGAATGACCAGAGTTTGTAAAATAAATTGCAATAGTTGTTGTATCACACAGCTAGCATGGCACAAGCTGGAGGCCACAAGGGGCTCCAACCTGACAGAAAATTACTTCAAGATGAATGAAAAGTATTTGTTTCTCTTTATTAGTTTTTAGAGAACAATGAAAATGTTGAATTGTTTACAGAGGGCTGATTAAATGTGGTCAGTAGGGCCATGTCCCTATGCTAACTGTTGGCCTCCCCCTCCTGCTGGCCCCCAACCTACACACTCACATGCCACACCACTCTAAGTACCCAGCCCCCACCCTTTGCTCCCTGCCACATGCATCTTCTTACAGGCTATTATGGCTGCACATCTGTGTGTGAAATGTGCTCGTTCTGACAGTTTACTGCTGCTCGGCACTGCAGAAGCCTTTGTTAGGTAAAACACTGTTGTCAAAGCCTAACAAGCAGGTCATGCAATTTGCTGGACACTGCAGCAGAGAATAGCCCAGGATGAATTGCTTTGGCCTCAAACAATGCTCAGTTCCACATTGGAATACATATGTATTTTTTCATTGTGCAGCACTACAAAAAGTCACGACATTTTGTTTTCTTAAGGCTTTGATTTAAAATATATATATATTGCTGGGGTTAGACTACCACAAAGTAGCCTGTTTGTTGTATTTACTTAGGATAGCTACTGTCCGATAGCTAAAGGAAAAAGGCTTTAATTGGTCATTTGTGGTCTGAATCCCATTTATGTTTTACCAGAAAGCACAGTAAGAGGAAAGGCACTGGCTACCATTTTAGCTGACTGTTCGGTGTACTTAAAGGGGTGGTCAAAACCGGGGCATTCAGGAGGATGTCGTGCAGAAAGATTCTCACTTTGTATTTCCACAAAGTAAACAGCCCTTGATGAAAAGAAATATGAGAACTCATTAATAAGCAGATGCCAAACAGGAAGAGAACAGTCTTTTTACCAAGTTAAATGAATCACATCCAGTAGGTTTTGTTAAAGTAAAAAATTAAGGAAAAGCAAAATCACTGCCATTTCAGCTCAACCAACAGCCTTCCATGGCCCATCCCCTTCCTGACTTCTAACTTCTTCCTTATACACACACACACATATGCACACACACACGAGCAAGTCTGCTGGGAAAATCAGCAGTAATCGGGAGCGGTTCAAATGTTATTTGTGGCATTCTGACAGAATACATAGCATACACCCCTAATGTGCATGCAGAATTCTCTTCCCCTCTGTGCAGAACATGCATTCTGTGCCTATTATGTGTATAAACAATGGCATATATAATTACCTTTCTAGGGTGGCAATTATTCCTCAGAATCAGCAACCAGAGTTAAAGCATGTTCCCCCAAAAGACATTTGGGGATCAATTCTGGGTCAATTACATCAGGCTTTGATTTATCACATGGTGTCAGACCATGTTAAAAAAAGAAAATTTTCTTTTTTAAAAAAAGCCTTATGAAGTAAAGGCTAAAGGTTTGACTCAAATTGGTGTGTTTCCAACTTTGCTTTCAACCAATTGCTCTGCCCTCCCCCATTTTCAAAACAACTGTGATTTGCAGGATTTTATCTGTTAGACAGTTTGCTGGGAATACTAACTGTAATAAATCTGAACTATGCCCAGATTTGATCTGCTCCCCATCACCAAGCACTGGGAATTTCTCCTGGGATGCAGCAGAGGGTAGGGGTTAATAGTTCAGGGTTTAGAGTCTAAGAGATCTGCATTTAGATCTCCATGATTAGGCAAGATACATATCTCTACAGTGATAAAACCTACTTCAAATGGTTATTGTGAGCTTTAAATGAGAAAAGTAAGGGAGAGGATATGTGTAAAACACTTAGCTCAGTACCTGGCACATCTGGAGTACTTAATGGACAGTGAATGCTCCTCTACTGATGGACAAGCCAGAGTTGGAGAGGCAGAGCAGCCCCTCCAAAGGCCCCACCACCCTTGAGTGGGCAGAGCAGGGCAAGGGCAGGGGAAGCAGAGTGGATGTCGGTACAAACCACAGGGCTGAACTGGTGAATTCCAAGATGCCAATTAAGAAGTGAATTAGACTGCACATGACGTATTCACCGATTTGGGCTAATTTTAAATAGACTGACTGCAAACTGCAAACAAATTAAGGTGCTCCTCTGTTAATAAGACAACTCTCACTCATACACAGCTATAAGAACTACAGCTAAAAGCAGTATTTTACATGGCTTGATCACCAAGACATGTAATGTTTACTGAACATATACCCATGATGCACCAGGCACTGTACTAGGCACCAGGAATAGAGACAGGCCCTCTAAAAAACACTCCCAGAACAGGAAACAAGTATCTACAATTTAGCAAAATACAATACATAACTCAGATTGCCTGGAAGCTATTTCAGGTAAACTGAAAGTGACATAACAAATATCCAATATCACCATCAGGAGTTTTGGGGCAGGGGATTCATCCTATTAGATGAATCATATAACTGAAGTTATTGGTCAAATTAGAGCTATTCCTTAGTGCAAAGCAAAATAAAGTTTTTAGAAATTAAATAAAAGGGGATGGTATTAGAATTCTCATAAAATTATTTAAGTAGCAATGTAATGCCCCATTCAAAGAATACTTTGAATCCATTTTATATAAAGCAACATTGTTTATTCAATAAGAGAGAAATGGCACTTACACAATTCATTTCTCAAAGGGCACACAATGTTATTGGCAGTATGTATTGGCAGCTTAATTAAGAAGTCTGTTGATGTTTAAAAAAACCTGGCACATTTTCAATTCAGATGGACACTACTCAAGATAAAGACATGTCTACAGTTGGCTCATACATACTGAAATGTGTCACAGACACTACATAAAATGTCTAGTGCCTGCAGTCACATTAGTGTCTTAACACTGGACAAATCCTGAGTTATACTTATTCCCACATCAAAAGTAGTTTTTTGGAAAAATTGTATAGGTTATTCAACTTACGGAACATAGAGGACAGTTAATGAATACTGAAAAAGCCAAATTTTCATAAAGCTGCAGAATCTTTTGCTCCTTCCTTGCCCTGTCTTTTGCTCCTTCCTCAAACTTAATCCAAACCTGCCACTTCTCCATGCTAATAACTCACTCAGAAGGGCAGGCCCCCAGAACATGGAAGGTAGAGGCCTATAGAAACAACTGAAGTAATTCACCTCCCACCCCCCAAGAAATGTACAAACACAATATATTTTTCCAAGAGACAAGCTACACCTAAGGGGGGAAAAAAAGAATTTAATTCAATTAACTCCAACTCAATAGTGTGTTAATACCTCTCAAGTCTACTGAATATTTATGGAATCAATAAAATGAATCCTATCAGAAGTCCAAAAGAAAATGGAATTAAGAAGTCCTGAGTTGCCCACATTAGATTTTTTTGTTTTGTTTGCTTTGTTTTGTTTTAAAGGGACTTAAAATACTTATAGAATATACTTTTCCATTCATTTCCTGTTTTAGGGACACACTTAATTAAGAGCAGCAGGAAAAAAAAATGCACCCTGAAACTAATTGTAAATCCATTGAAGGCAAGGACCACATCTTTTTTGTCTCCCTCATTTTCCCTCCCCCATTTGAGCAGTGATTCACACATAGCGGGTACTTAAGTTGAAAAGGCAAGGCATGTTTCAATTCACATTAATCTGGAGGAACTGCATTGATTTAAGGAGAAGCTGAGACAAAAAGGAAACGTTCAATCTTTTCTGAATCCTGGCTAGTGAGGCACACTGTCTTGAAAACTTCCTTCCTTGAAGCTTGCGTAACATTGGCGTCATTAATTGCTGGCCACTGCGGCATTCTTAATGTCTTGATTTGTTTTCATTTTTGCTGATGGTAACAAGTTGACTCTCCAATGGTTGTCTTTCCAACAGGAAAATGAAAGGTGATTTGAAGCAGGTATTCAGTGAAGAAGGCATTCAGTCTACCCATATCCTACAGACTTTATTTACATCTGTAAACAAAATAGAAACAAATTATTAATCCAAATTTCCTAAAAACAACTTCTCAGAAGTACAACAGTCTTTTGCTGAAAATTATTTAGTTCAACATTTAAAAAAAAAAAAACCTTTTATGGTGATAATGCTATTTAAGTTTTATTTCCTTACCTTAAATAATGACTGTGAAATCCATGCCACCCCCAGGTGCAGATCCAAGCCTAATAAAATCAGGAACACCACATATCTGTGCATTTTAAAAACAAAGTTTCCCTACCCAGTTAAGGATTCTGTATTTTCTTCTCTTGTCTTGATAAACAGGAATAAAACCCCTCCTGGATTCCACACCCTTCCCCTTCACTGAGATCCTGCATAGTAAAGTCCCTGCCTGGGCACCAAAGTAGATGTCCAGGAAACAACAGCTACAGATAAAAAGAGAAGAGGAGACCGTTGTGAAGCAATCTGGCCAGGCAGGAGCACGCTTTCTTCAACAAATGTTCTGTACTAATCAGGTGGGTTAAAGAGACAAGAACAAACACTTCAAACATCAGCTCTAGCGTCAAAGGCCCTAGGAGAGCAGCATGGAAGCATCCAGGTACTCCTACCTTACGTATTTCAGTCATACCTGTGCACATGCATATTAGTAGCACTATCTTAGACCAGGAAAGACAGACATTTTTACAAGAAACACTTGTATTCATTCACATGCTCAAGGGCTACTGTCTCTCTGTAATGTCTAACAGCAGAGCCACTGCAGTAAGATGTAAAGCAAACACACAAGCTTAGCTTTAATACATTTAATTTATTTACTAATTTGTTGTATTTATTTTGGTTTTCAAAAATAAGCCAAAAGAGGTTGTATATACGGTTAAAATACTCTTCAGCTCATGAGCAAAAATGCCATCCTACATGAGCATTTAAAAGCCACCTGGGATCATTTTAGTTTCTTCTTTCTTTGATATCCATTATATCAAACTTGTCACTGAAACCTGTTACTTCTCAATTTGAAATGTGTTTTGCAGTCCCTTTCCTTCTGAATTTCTACTAAGTCCTCCCCACTGTGTCAGGCCCTGTTCTCCTCAGCCTGGAATTTGACAGCATCCTAGTTATGCCTAAGAGGCTTAACACAGCTGTGACTTTCAGCCCATGTTCACCAGGCAGGCAAAAGAGAAGTATCCTCAGCACACCAGAGAGTGGGACTGGAATTCCTTTTCTGACCACAAGTGCGCTGAATGGCTCTGAGTGTACACTGCTTCATCATTTCTCCCTGTTTCCCTTACTCCATGTTGGCCCAGTCTTCAGAACTGACTTCTGCCCTGCCTAGCTTTCCTATTTCCTAAAAGCCTTGTGCCTTACCCTAAACCTAAATCTGCCTGACTAGAATCCTGATATAACCCTTCCCCAGATTCTATTCCAGGACTCCAGCTGCTGGCTGGGATCCAGCTGTGATTAGATTGCCCACCACCATGAACCACCATTCCTGACTCTGAATCTCACTAGTTATCTATATCCCAGTTGCTCAAACTTTCAGCTGAATTGGATCTTCTCAGACCCAACACCTTTCCGAACCATCTACTTGGTCACTGAGCACCGACTGGGCTGCTGGCTAACCCTGGTGCAGCCAAGGCTCTCCTTTCACTCCTGACTTGACTTCCTCCTGTTCCCTAGCAACTCAGGTTGCTGAGATCCTGCACAGGAATGCCCTCTTGCTATCCTAGCCAAATTCTAACACTATAATATTTTTATAATACCTATCTTTTATTTATGCATTCATTCAATTAGTCAGTTATTTATGTATCTTCACTTACTTTATAAAAACTCAAGAGGTTAACATTAACTTAATTTTTTAAAAATTCTTATGTGACTAAAGGTCAACCCCTGCCTAATTTTTTAAAGTACTCTACTTCATTTCTCTGCTTAAGGAACACAGATCTACTGATGTCTAGGCTTATTCTGAATCTTTGTTTACTCCCTTTTTTCTGCCTTCTTAATTAGCTCCTTTCATCCTTTGGTACCTCACATGACCTAAGAAGTCTTCCCAGAGAAACAAATCCACATGGACTTCTACTTTATCTAAAGTCCTCTGAAATAATATCACACAGTTTAAGTACTTGGTTTTCACTGTTTCATATACATCAGCTCCCCAGACAGTGTCAGTTCTTTCAGAACTGGGATAAAGGCCATGACCAGTACCTGTTACAGTGCCTCTCAAGTACTTGATGTTGACCTCTAGTGGGAAATCAAAGTTCAACCTTCACTTTCATCTTCTCTCTAGCCTCCACTCGCCAGCCCCACCCCCATGGGGGAAAAAACACAAGGTAACTTCATCAAGTTAATGGACTCAACTAAACCTCTTAAAAGGGGGGGTGGAGCTTTTGGTAAATTGAGAGAAAATGTTAAGGTTTTGACTTTTGTTGTCTGTGGTCCCTTTGGGGCTCATTTCTGGGGGTTCTCACTTTCTTTAGATTGCTTTTCTCTACGTCCATGTGGCCAGTAAGACAAAACAGGTATGGAACTGCCTTCCATTTGGGAGATGCCCTCCAACACTTCCTCCCAAAGATAAGGCCTAGGGAAAATTAACTAAACCACCTCTAACTTAAACTTTTATCTTTTTTTCTTGTTTTTCTTCTGCTCTATATAGTCACTAGTAAAATAGAACCTCAAGAACTGACCCAGGAGAAAGGGATCAAGAAAGACTACCCATGCACAAGATACATTATTACAAAGCAGGTCTACATAGATAACTGAACTCATCAGAGACTGCATTATGTTCGGGGGGAGGGAGGGCAGCACCCAGGTAACAAATAAGAACACGTGTGCTGTGTATTTGAGGTCTATCCTGTGTTTATCTCCTCCAACTACCCGTGGCCCCAGGAGATATCTGGGTATCTGTGGGTCCTAACTAAACCTAACTGTATATTCTCAATAAATGATTGTTAATTGATTTTTCCATAGTAAATGTCTAAACTTTATCAAAGAAGACCAAGAATTCTCAGAAATTCTGAAGTTCTGGTCACAGTTGTTTATGATTTATGTTTTGAATACATTCCTCACTCAAAACCTTAATTTTATTCTTATAAAAGCCATTTTTCTAAGACCACACCTCTTACAGATGTGTGAGTCAATGACAAATTAATGACAGATCTTTGAGTATGAGATGTTTGTGAGAGTGAAGATGCAAGCATGACAAGTCTTGGAAATTTTGCAAGCCTTTCTTGCCAAAGGTTAAAGCCAGTGGGCTCCTTCTACTGTGAAATTTTGAATTAGCACTTGGAGATGATGCAGAATCATGTGATGTTCATGATAGCTAACATCTTTTCAGTATTTAAATATATTACACACACAGTATACACATGCATATATACATAACTTTGATGTACTACTTGGAAAAGAATGGATAATGGGTGTAGGCATACCCACAAAGTCATGAGATCATTGGTCACTTGTCCAACCTTGGACAAATTATTTGAACTCTATAACTCGTTTCTTTTTGTCTACACCTACTTGATAAATTGTTGTCAGCAACATGAGCCAGTGCCTTTTTTTCCCTATTATATCCCCAGCTTCTGGTACAGTGTCTATATATAGTAAGTATTCAATAAAATTTAGTTATTGCTGTTCCTGTTGGTATGCCAAATCTGGACAAATAATGTCATACCTTAACAACTAACCATTATGTCCTTCCAATAAAGATCTAATAACATGGTGTGCATTAGTGTGATCACATTTTCCAACCCAATCTTAGAATACATGGTTTTTTAAACATAAAAGGTTCTTTCTGACTTAGAATTTTATTTTTATGAAAATTCTTGTATGTTAAACCTGATGAACTGACTTTACCCTACAAAATTAAACTGAGCAGCCCTGGAAAGTCAAAGACACAGAGCCCCAACAGTCACCTCTAGTTTTTATTACAAGTTCCCCTGTGCATATGATTTTTTTTAAAGCGTAATAGTTCAGAATATCAAGAAAAATAATTTTTATGCTTTCCCAAAGGAAGAATGGGAACTTCTTGCTTCTACAAAAATAGCATGGATGAGAGTTTTCAGTAAAACACATTTCTCCTACTGAAGAGCACTTAATAAACACACACACCTGGCTCCTTTCATTTGCCACAACATACAAGAACACACAAGTGGCACCCATTTGCCAGTTTTCAAAGTAATTCAGTCTGATCTGTTGAGGTGATGGATTTGTCAAACTGTGTAAGCCTATCATTAAGGGCAGGATAGATTATAGGTTCCATGCAGGACATTTTGGTGCTTACATTTCTCATCCACGCAGCCTATGAAACATAAGGGGAAACAAGAAGATGAAAATAAAGTTGAACATGGACTCACTGCTTCTCTCTCCAAAGCATAATATGAGCCAGTTAACAGTCCATACCACCTACTATATATACATATATATATAAAAAGTTCTATTTCTTTCTGGTTAATATAAAAACCTTTCATAAAGGACACAAAGATTATGCACAAAAAGTGACTATGCAGTCTAACTTGCGGCCTTGTGCTTCCACTTTTAAAATATCATTCTTTCCTCTCTCACCCTACCGATCTATGCAACCACTGTGCTTCTCTATGATATTTTTTTATGCACTTAAAAATTCTCACCTAGAGTGGAGATTATATCTACAGTAAAATTCATAATACGGTGAACTGAAAAAGACAAGGCTAAATTAATTAAAAGCCTAAAGTATGGGCTTTTGTCAGAAAGATCATGACAACAGCAACAGCTGATGTTTGAGTTCGCTAAATGAAAATCACTAGGCTGAACACTTTACATGCATTATTTCATTGAGTGCTCATGGAAGTCCTTCAGCAGGTATCATCCATTTTTACACATTAGAAAACAAAACCTGAGAGACACTAAGTAACCTGCCTAAGGCCATAAGCTAAGAATGATAGAACTACTTTCAAACCTGAGTTTGTCTGACTCCAAAGCTCATGTTGTTTACCACCACATCAAACTGCTGGGGCTTCCTTCAATCACTAATAACAATAAACCAGTATCTCAG